TTATTGTTCTTTCTTTTTCAGTTTTTGTTAAAAAAAAAAGAAAATAACTACTTGGCTTTAAAGCATTATCTTATTTAGGTGTTTACAATGATAATTGATTAATATAATTGCATATATTTCTCTCGGGTCGTATTAAAGTCTTAAAAAAGGCTTCATACTGTAAAGGTTTTGTTAAGAGAACTTTGTCTCCAATTGCTGTGAGGAACATGTTTTGGAAAACTACTGATTGGAGATAAAAAGCTGAGAGTGAACAGCTGTGGGACGGCAGCCATCAAACAATAAGCAGAGACATTACATCATGACTAAGCCTGATATTACAGAGGAGAACCAACTAGAAACATTCAAACTGAAACTGGCTTTAATGAAACAGTAAAGAAAAAACACTTTGAAATACATTAGAGTTTAACTTCTAAGGTTTAGCAGAAAACATCAGAAGATTTGCCATAAAGACGGACCTTACCTTTGCTCTGCAGGAGAGAGGTAAAGCTGGTTTTCCTGTGCTATGTGGGAGTGGATGTGTTGAGACCAAGGCTCTGAGGCTGCGGCTAACAGAAATATGAACGCGTTTCTTTGTCTTTGTTTTTAAGCCTCACGGTTCCAGCATCAGATTCCTGCCTCCACCAGATAAATTCAATGTTTCTCTCTCTCTTAAACCTCCACATGCTTCATCCTCAACAGTCCGCTCACATTTATTTAAACTTACTTAGTCATTAGATTTACAGCATGTCACAACAAACCATGTCTTATTCAAATGTTGAATAACAGTTGAAGAGGCTCTTTCAAACATTTAGGAGCTTTTAATGAAGTCAGAGGAGCGCCTGTTTCTGACTCATCTGAAGATCATGACATCCTGGAAATGGTCGAAGTCACAGGTCTGTGTTCAGCATTATTGCTTTGGTTCAGTCTGTCACTATTAGAATATTAATAATAAAAGAGGCAGCAGCTGCAAAGCGTCCAGGTTTGTTCATCTAGACCAGAGGTAACCAATTAAAAATCAGCGGTGTCTGAATAAAGAAAAAAAAAAAAAAAAGATATACACACATATATATATATATATATATATATACACACAATCATTCTGTTGAGACCTGGTCGAAAAGCAAAGTGACTTTTTATTCGTGTGTTCGAACTTATTTATTAAATTATAAATGCTTTTTTCTTAAAACTTTTATTTTGTAGTTCTGTCAAAGCATGAAAGGAAATTCTATTTGATCCAAACCTCTAGTGCCTAGTTTTCTTAATTCATGACTTTTATTTTACAACTGATTAAATATTTTTCTTCCCATATTTTGTGCTTTTCATCTATATGTGTTTGACAATTCATAAGACCCTGTTTAATACATAAGAAAAACTTTTATTTTGAAGAAATTAAACAATTTAGTGTAAATTTTTATTTTTAGTCAATGATGTAGATTTTTTTTATTTTTACATGAATAAATTCCAAATATTTTTACTTTTGAAAATGTTTTATTGTAGATAAGATATTTTTATGCTCCCTTTATTTGGTAAAAAGCCTTTTTGTGATTAGACATTAATTTTTTATAAGAAATTTCCAATGCTTATGCGCCATTTAGAAAAATACTCAGCACTTTTTACAGATATATATATACAGAATTGTATACATTTATTTAGAAATTTCTCAAAATAAATACATGATTTTTATCGGAGAGTTTCTTTGTTATCGGTTTTTATTGGTTATTAGAAAAATAACAATATATTAACTCGATAACAGTTAATATCATAACTTATTTCTGTGATGGAACTTTAAGTTGGAAATTTTTTCATGTTACGATATTTCTTTTTTCACTAATTCTCTGTAATTGAGCATTCATTCCATAGACCAAGACATTTACTGGGATCTAATTTGACCTAAATGGGCTTCCGTCCATTTATGTTCTTTGATATTATCTGATCATGTCTCCTTCTTTCTGCTTTCTAATTCCTAATTCAGAATAATAAACTGGATCAGAAAGTTTAAACCAAACAAACCCATTTATTGCTCTAATCAAACTGTACAGATTTAAATATCCAGAAAGGAGGAGGTTCCTGCTGGGAGCCTCAGGACACGTCCTCCATGTAGTCAGCTCCGTGGCTCTGACTGATCTGAGAGATGCTCAGGTCCTGTGTGGCTTCATTAGACTGGACAAAAAAATAGACAGGAGGTCAGAGAGCAAACTGAGCTGAGATCAGAAGCCCTCAGAGCCTGGAGCAGACGTCAAACCTTTTCGCTGTTCTCTGGACCCTCGATGGACACCTCCTCGATGTCCTCGGCCAAACTCAGCTCGCCGTTAGAAAGGTCCGACCGATGGCTGAAAAGGAAAACAAACATCAACGTTCTGTTAGAGATCAGCCTGAATCGGTCAGGTTGACCTAAAGTTCTCCTGGAACCTTATGAGGGACACCAGAAACCTGCTCTGAGGAGGTTTCTCCAAAGACAAATATAAGCAGGTTGACATCAGACAGATCAAACATTACATCATCGATCTCACCTGTTGAAGTCATCATCGTACTCCTCCTCTTCATCTGTGGAGACAGAGTCCAAAATATTAGTAAGAATAAATTCTGCTAAACGCTGAAACTGGACTTTTCCAGGAACCAATCAAAGCTGCAGATGAACCAAACAAAACGAGAATGAGAAACAGTTTCTGACCCAAGTGCAGAGATCCTGTTCTGTCGCTCGCAGCGCGCAGGTTTTTCTCTCTGGAGGTTTTTGCTCCTGAAAAGCAGAAAACATTCCAGAGTTCAGACAGAGAGTCATTTCCAAAACACAGACCTCCAGGATCCAGACCGCTGCTTTCAAACAGTTCCAGGACCTTTCTTTTAGAGGAAGGAAGGAAGGAAGGAAGGAAGGAAGGAAGGAAGGAAGGAAGGAAG